CCTCCTCGTCGTCCTCTGCCTCCTCCTCGTCACTGTCCTTAGCCGTACAAGAGAGCCACCACTGCCTTCCCTCCTTAGAGAGGTATTTTCAAAATTTTTGAATTTTTTAAATATTTTTTATTTACTATTGTTATCTTTTAAATGTTGTAGAACGCTTATTACCCTCTACTTGATTTTAGCCCTAATTACAACACAAATCTTTAAACCTCATCAAAACCTTAACTCTAACCCTTAAAAGAAATTGGTAATAAATCTAACTAATACCCTAATAATAGTAATTATTCAAATAATTATCCTTATTAATTTTAGACATAAAACCCTAATACCCTAAAATATGTGAATTAATCAAAGATTTATATATATATTTTTAAAAAAAATTAGTAGTGTGATATATAACATAATAATGTGTTATATATTAATTTTAGGTGAATAACAAGTTAACGTTAGCTGTAGATGTCTGTCCAATAATTACTACCTGTTAGACCCTAGAGGGGGGGTGATTAGGGTCTTATGCTAATCTAATCCGATTAAATGCCAATTAAAAACTAATTAATATGTTATCCTAGCAAGTATAAAATACAACAAGATATGTGAGCTAGGATAAACAATATGAACAAGGGATATATCCTAGCAATGAGATATACTATGAGTTATACGCAAGGATATGAAACTAAGGGTGATATAAAAACAACACAAGGGTAAAATAAACAATCTACACAAGTGATAGGGTAATATGATGAGCAATACACAAAGGCGATATAAGATATGAAAACAAGAATAAGAACGCCAATGCAATCACAAACACACGATATGATCACGGAGTTCGGACCTTCCGTCCTACGTCTCCGCTCCCCACTCCCGGGGAGAATTCCACTATCACAACCGGGTTTTCTACGTTCACCCGAATAACGTTTACACCTCACAGTATCGGTTTTCAACGCTCACCGATCAACGTCACTCCTCACAATCGGTTTTCTAGTTCACCGAAAACTTTCACACCACACTCGGTTTCTAGCTCACCGAAAACCTAACAATCTCACAATGTAACAAATATAAATTGTTCTCTAATATGGATGAGAACACAATAAAAGCTCACACTCAATGTTACAACTCTCACAACCCTAATATACTATGTATGCAAATACAATAAGCTCAAGTGGGTGTGTGTAACAATGAGATTCAATAAAATCAAATTAACTAAACTCAAGTCCGGTGCGGTCGACCGATGGAGTTTTTTCGGTCGACCGGACCGGTCGACCGACAGACTCTCTGTCGCCCAATGCTGAAAAACCAACTGATCGGTCGACCGGGTCGGTCGACCGAAATCTGACACAGCTGAAAAACCTGATTTGCTGATTTTAAAAAGCTGTTTAAAAATATCAAATAAATTCCAAAAAATGTAAAACTTTGGGGAATGATTGTAGACATGATAATAAACATGCTACAATGACTGGTTTCGAAAAAGGACTTCCCAAATGAAAAATATCATCATTTTACAAAATAGTCCAAAACATGAAAACCTGAAAATTGATATTTTGATATTTTGACTTAAACAACATTTTGAAACCTTATGAAATGATTGTATAGACTTGATAAAAGATATAACATGTTGTTATGAAGTCTATAATCTAGAAATACAATATTTTCATAAAATTGCATATTCTATGCAATATATTCAAAACACTAAATATGATTTCATTAAATATAAGCTTGTTAAAGGTGAAATCATATATAGGCATATAAACATGAAACAAAATAGTATTTTTCAATTCTATTCATTTGTTTCATAGTAAAACTTGAAAACTATCAAACCAAAACATATATGTATATATATATAACTATATATATACAAAAACCAAAACGTGTATGTGTGTATATGATTGAGCTTAAAGTACTAACACACATAATATAAATTCCTAAACTAAATTACCCAAGCAATGATCTTGATCTTCAACGAAGCTCTATCTTGGTAATCTTGCGGATGAAGCTTGAACTTGGATCTTGACTTAAATGTGCATTGCTTCACTCCACTATTCCGCCAACCTCCTTTGGATATGATCGTTGAAGCTCTATTCCATCCATCCTCCAACATATTGTTTGCCTAGAATCAATATAAAACACAAACACTAGACAAACAATATTAGATGTAAATTGTTTGTAAATCATCATCAAAATAAGAAGGCCAACACTACCAATTATTTAGACTTATAATATAAATGAACGATTCCACTTTAGGTATGAAATTTAATTTTATATCGAAAAGGACAGCTTAATTTATATTATAAGTAGAAAGAATTGGAATGTAACTATTGGATCTGTCCAGTTCGGACGGGTTAGGAATATAGTTGTGCATACATCTAACTTGGTATACTTTGTGCATTTTTGTTTCTTGAAAATTCTGGTCGCACGTACTTGTTGTTCTCTGAGTACAATAAGCGTATGCTGTTATGCGTATCGGCCTATTACTTATCGATTTCGGTCTATTACCGATACGCATAATAACATCCGCACAATGTTCTTGAAGAACAATAGGTAGGTGTTGCAGAAATTTTCTAAAAATAAAAATACACAAAGTATTCAAAGTTAGATGTAAACACTACTATATTCTTAATAGGATAGAAGCCTTCCTATGACAGCCGAGAGTGTTTGTTCAAATCAGGATTACTTATCACAGAGTGTTAGCTTTTATTTGGTACGACAATGGACATTATAGAAGAGTAATTTCATCCGCTTGATTATTTGTTCAAATTAACTAAAATAAAGACTATTAAACTTAAAGATGATTTATGAGATATTAAATTAATTAATAAGTTTACCTATTATACAAATGAGAGAAGTTCTTGATAAGCCGTAGATTGATGGTAAACTGAGACATCCAGCAAATGCAAAGGCATGAGAGCATGTGGATCAAACTTTTCCCTCATTTGCCACAGAATGCAAGAATGTCAGACTTGGTCTATCTAGCGACGAATTCAACCTGTTTGGCATTATGAGTTCGGGATGGTCTACTTGGCCAGTTGTGTTAACGCATTATAATTTGCCACCTGGACTTTGTATGAAGCAATCATATATGATTCTTTCATTATTGATACCAGGTAAACATTCACTCGGTAAATGACATAGATGTGTTCATGGAGCCGTTAAATAATGAGTTAAAACGTCTCTCGGATGAAGGGGTCCCAACATATGATGCACTTTCTTATGAGTCTTTTAATCTCCGTGCTATTCTTATGTGGACGATTAATGATTTTTCAGCTTATGGTAATCTCTCTGGTTGGTCTACGAAAGGGACATTCGCTTGTCCTATATATGATCCAAACTTTGAAGGCTTTTATTTACAACACAGTCGAAAAATGTGATATTGGTTTAACAAAAAATGGTTATGAAAAGGACAAATTCAGGGGCAAAAAACGGGCAAATAAGTTTGATAGCAAAGAAGAGAAAAGAGGGGAGCCGCGTGAAATGACTGGAGATGAGATTGTAAACTTGTTTGAGGGATATCCTAAATTCAAGTTCGGAAAGAACCGATTTACAAAAGAGGAAATTCTCGCTCCGAGACGCACTTCCATCATGAATAGGGCACCTAAACAAAAGAGGCAAGTGCGGAGTTTAGATGTCACACATGCTGAGGATTTGCCGAGAGGATGGACAAAATTTAGTATATTCTTTTAGTTGTCTTACTGGCATAAGCTCAAACTCTGACACAATTTAAATGTAATGCATATTGAAAAGAATATATGTGATAACTTATTGTCCACACTCCTATAGGATGGTAAGAAATCAAAGAACGATTTAAGGGCTCGGTAATACTTGAATGCGTTGAACATCTGACATGATCTGCAAGCACAAGACGTCGCCAATGGAAAATTTGAGTTATCTTCAGCTCGTATTACAATGTCAAAAGTTGAGATGCAGAGATTTTGTGAGGTTCTTAAGTCAGTGAAGTCACCAGATGGTTACTGCTCTAATATTTCAAATAATGTCCAGGTAAAAGAGCGAAAACTTTTAGAACTTAAGACTCATGATTATCATATCCTTCTTCACCGATTGCTTCAGGTAGCACTTCGTAACAATATGGTCGATGAAGAAGTAACAAAAGTTATAATTGAATTCTGTGGATTTTTTAAAAAGTTATGCTCCAAAGTTATCAATATTGATGAATTTAATACACTAAAAGAAGAAATGGATGAAACCCTCTACAAAATGGAGATATTCTTCCCTCCATCATTTTTTATGATCATGGTCCATCTCACACATCATCTTGTAGATGTGACATTACTCGGAGGACCAGCTAACTATCGTTGGATGTATCCCTTGGAGAGGTTAGTTAAAATTCAATTAAGTCTATTTACATAACATGTAATTGCTTTATATTAACAACTCATATTAATGTTATCTTTAGATATTTGGGTTTCTTGAAACGCATAATGCGAAATCAGGCTCATCCTAAAGGTTCGATTGCTGATCGTTACGTGGTAAATGAATGTATGATGTTTACCTCTCGGCATATACAAGGTGTACCTACAAAAAATAATTCACTAAATAATAATATAGATGACACCTTTCATGGAAGTATATATACAAGGTGTACCTACAAAAAATAATTCACTAAATAATAATATAGATGACACCTTTCATGGAAGTACCAAGATGAACAAAGACTATTCCAGAATATTCACTAAATAATAATATAGATGACACCTTTCATGGAAGTACCAAGATGAACAAAGACTATTCCAGAATAGACTTGAATTAGGCTCATTCCTTCTTATTGCAGAACCTAGAAATATTTGAAGATTACCGCAAGTAATAAATTAACTTTAACAAATATGAATTTTTTTGAATTATATCAATAGTTGAACTCTAATTTTTTGTATCAATAAATGACATTTGGAGGAGTTGCAGTTAGAAATAACTGGCGCATCAGCACAAAATCAAATTATAAAAATTCATGAAAAATATTTTGCCGAGTGGGTCATAGATGAAGTAAGTTAAGTGTATTTTATTTTTAATTAATTTTGGGAATAAATAAGGCTAACTATTTAATGCTAATTTGTGTTTATGCGCAACATTAGGTAGAAAGACAAATATTTGCTGGTTTGCCCGTGTCAGAAGAGATAAGTATTCACTCACATAGACCACACTACATAGTTAAACAATGCAGCGGATACCGTGTAAATAGGTGTTTATTTTAACGGGTAGGGCTTGATGAGGAGAGAGTTACCCAAAATAGTTGGGTCATGGCTGTATTCTCTCAAGAATGTTATTCAAGCTCAACTGATCAAAATCCGGTACTTGGTGATGTAATTTATTACGGACAATTAGAAGATATTGTGGAGATATTCTTTGCGTACGGTACTAAAAATGTATGTAGTTATGTGATGTTTAAAGTTCCTTGGTGTCATTCAGATAGAACTAGGGATGCATATGGTTTTCATCTTGTAAATCTAGATAAGGAGATATATCCCGATTTGAAGTTTATGTTCGCAAATTAGGCTACTCAGTGTTTTTACATCAAAGATCCTAGGTAGCCGAATGTCTGGGTTGTATTGTATAAGGAGTCGAGGACTCTTGTTCAGCTTTCTCTTGATGAAAACTCGGACAGTACTGATGACCCAAATGAGATGGAAGGAGAACTTTTCTTAGTTACTCATACCCCCAAAATGTCAATTTTAATATGTATACTTCGCAAATTCGACTTGATATCTGTAGTGTAGGAGATTGAATACAAAGATCCTTATGCAAATTCGACTTGATATCTGTAATGTAGGAGATTGAATACAAAGATTCTTATGCAAATTCAACTTGATATCTTGCATGCATTTATTAAATATCTTAATTATGTTAGATTAACAATTTAAGTTGCAAATGAGCCAAAGAATTAGGAGGCTATCTTTTCCTCGGGATTGAGAAGGTCCATCATCCGATATAAGTATTCAAATTTTATTTAAGTAAATTGTATTTGTGATATAAATATGCATTATATTTACTATTTTGTTTATTTATTTAGGATCGTCCTCACGACCATCTCGGAGTCTATTATCTTTACATGGATCCTCACCCATTAAAGATATAAATTTATTTAATTGTATTATGTCAATTGATATATTTATATGCGCATATCGTATTTATTACTTTGTTAGATATTGTAGGGACATCTCAAATGGGTCCACCGCAGCATCAAGACGCATCGTCAGATCTAGGTATTATTTTTCATATTTTTATTATTTTGATATTATATTCTTAATATACATTTGTAATGTAATGATATTTTATATTCCTAATATATATTTGCAGACAGTACTTGTGATGGATTTGGTGATGACGAGATCGAGCACGAGATGATGTCCGGATCTTCTCAGTCAGAGATAACATGTCTCCGCCCATGGACTCCGTCAGTATATCACATCCCTTTGCCAGAAAAAGCTATTGAATTACAAAAAATGCTATAGGAACTACAAAATAAAAAGAGATGATATTTAATAAAAAAGGAGCATGCCATAAAATAGAGACCGGATAAAGCTATAGCAGATCTAATGAGGGAAAATGGTAATAATTTTGTGTAAACTTTGGAGATTTCCTACTTATTTATTTATTTAAGTTTATAAGAAATTTATTTCTCTTTGTCTTTGTAGGCAAAAAAGATTATGAGAAACCCGGTAGGCATGGGAGTGAGGAAAAGACGAAAGTACCTCCAAAAGGGTACCAAGGCATTTTGGAGTGGAAGGGCAACATTCCTGTTGGGGATTGGGCCGTCAGATTTAATAACTTGATTGACTGTTTAATAAGAGATCAATGCTCCATTAACATAGCTCATAACTTTGAGGAGCAAGGATTTAAAGACATAAGGAAGATTTGGGAGAAGCTCATGATAATTATTTTTTATACTGCTTATTTTGTTTACAATTCACAATGATTATTCTTATAGTGTATTTTTTTTGCCATGTAACTTGCAGGATCATTATTGTCTTGAGGACAACCTAGAGTATTGGGATTATGTTATCCTTAGAATGGCCAAGCTTATTCGGGATTGGAAGAGTGATCTAAAGAAAAGATATTTCACAAAAGTATCTGCTAATTGGAAGAGGATCTATAAGCTTGATAAAAGAGTTTCCATTTAATTGGATGACTCTCATTATCGAATGGGAGGGTGAGAAGAAGGTGGATTATTTTTAATTTATGATATTATCCTCACGCTATTTTTTATTTATATATTATCCTCGCACATACTAATAAAGTACTTTATTTTGTAGAAAATATGTGAGACGACATCGGCGAATCGCAGATCGAAGCTATACGATCACTTTTTAGGATCTACTCCTTATGCTCGGATCAAGCCAGATCGAAGCTATACGATCACTTTTTAGGATCTACTCCTTATGCTCGGATCAAGCATAAGTATTTGAGTGAAAACCCGGTATGATCATCACTTTTTAGGATCTACTCCTTATGCTCGGATCAAGCATAAGTATTTGAGTGAAAACCCGGTATGATCATATTATTAAAACTGATATCAAGTGATTAGTTTCATACATTTAATTTGGAATTTAATATATCACAGGACGCTTTGACTACGCCCTCGACTCTTCTTGCTAGATGAGCTTATACACCGCCCTAGGGCTATGAAAATGTAGAGGGAAATGACAAAAAAATGGAGAAAATTAATGAATTGGACGTAGGTATAAGATTAATTTTAGATTTGTATATACTTAATGATTTCTCATTAAAGTTTCCAATGTTTATGATATATAATATACAGGCGGCATTGGAAGCTTCTCAAAATGTTATCTTGACCCATGTCTTGCAGTCTCAGGGTATAGAGGACACTCCTGTAGAGCCTAACCGCATGACCAGAGACGAGTGGATGGAAGTCGTCGATGGAGCTTATGGTTTACAACCAAGAAATAAAGGAAGAGTGCCTTTGTCAAGTGCCGGAGTTAAGACATTCACCACCACCAATAAGCCTAGCAGTCAATCTGTGACCTCGACGCGACCATGTGACACGTCATACATCATGGGTAAGATTGTAAAATATTTGTTGAAGAATGTTGAAGCTCCTATGGCTTTAAGTTTTCTTCACACTATTAAGCACGAGTTATGTGGTGCACAAACGACCTGGGATGTCGTTCAGTGACTCATCGTAACTCAACCCTTAAAGGACTTGCTTCCGCAGCCTATATACGTGGATATCATGGAGATGACATTTGATGAGCATGCAGCTGCAAGTGGTGGAGATGTATATATGTCATATTATATATTTATTTATTATGAATATTTTGGAATATATTGTCATAATGATTTACATTCTTTTCAGGCTAGAAGATGTACTCCTGTAAGAAGCAGCAGTACGGTACGACATTCTGATGCAGTCGCCACCGACGATAGGGATCACGACGATAGGGACCACGACGACTACCATGAATGAGTAGTGAGTTAGACTTTTTTGTTACTTTTGTGGATTTTTGGATTGTGTTGAACATATTATGACCTCCGGATTATATATATATATATATTATATTATATATATATATATATATATATATATATATATATATATATATATATATATATATATATATATTATATATATATATATATATATATATACTATATATATATATATATTGATGAATGGTGAATATTGTTGCGATGTGAATGATCTGAATGTGTGAATATTGTTGAATTTATTGTGAATATTGGTAACAAATGTATATATTCCCATTGGGGGCTCAAAAGTAGCAGTTTTTTTTTCGAATTACATTCATTAGGCGACAAAATTCCCGTCGCTAATGCATCTTGGCGACGGGTAATTTCATCGCCAATGTACATACATTGGCGAGGGACTATGTCGTCGCCAATGAACATTGGCGACAGAGGGCTGCCGTTGCCAATAAGCAATTGGCGACGGCGACATCGGCCGTCACCAATCAGCATTGGTGACGGGGCGGACGAGGCCTATCGCCAAAAGCATTGGCAACAGCTAGTGTACCGTCGCCAATGCTTATTGGCGACGGTGGAGGACCCGTCACCATTGCTCTCCGTCGCCAATGCCTTTCAGTTGCCAATTATCATTGGCGACGGATATCCCGTCACTAATGTTCATTGGCGACAGGCTTATTGGCGACGGACTATTGGTCGTTGCGAAAGTGTATATGTGATGGATTTGATTGCATTGACAACGGATTTCCCCGTCGCCAATGCTTTGTTTTCTACTGGTGATAGTATTAACTTAATACATGTCATTTGTTATTTTGAGACTGTTTGACGATGCATCCATGAACAAGGATTTCTTTCCGTTCCTTTTACTAATATATAGGTACATGTTCTCGAGCATAATTATGCACATTTATTTTTATTTGACAACTAAAATGAAATTCATTTTTAAGTATAATTCCACTTATGTTATATTTCTATTTGCAATAGAAAACTTTTTTGCTAGTGTGAAATGGTGTTTTTCGAATTAGTGTCAGATTCATGTTGTTGTCTTGCATTTTAGATCCTTATTTGGGAGCTTATTCTAGCTTAAGATTCATGTTGTTATCTTGCATATCGGATCCTAAATTTGGAAACTTGTTCTACTAGTTCAACACTCACACCATGAGCTTAGTCAAAACTAGTCTAATACTTATGGCTTTGTTGCCAAAAGCAACTTAAATCGAGAATGGGTCATGAGTTATGACATTATGTATGGAGATTTATTCAGAATCTTCACTATGAAAAAATGCCAATGGATACCATAACTAATTTTGCACCTACATAACTAAAATTTCCCAACATCAGTATGCTTAAAGTGACAAATCTTAAAATCGTGTTTAAGATTTGGATAACTAAATACAATACGTCGTGCTAAATTAAATTTCATATCTAAGGTCATGATCGGCAATTTAGACATCATCATTCTATACAATTGCTTAGCTTCTAGTGCTCTGTTGAGCCATTTGATCACAGAGAACAAAATCAATAGTATCCAAATCATGAAGATCGTGAAAAACTGAAAGCGCCCGAGCACCTACCAGTTTCAGTTATATTCAGAAGAAGTGAAATCTACTCTTGCTGCTCAACCTCATAGCTTTGAGCTACCTAGCATTAGCCCCTAATCTCTGGATTTATCTCTACGTGATAAGCATTGTACAGAGCAAAATATGTACAAACCTTAATCATGTTCATGCCAACTGAATATAAGCAGTGATGACACAAAAGCGAAAAAGTACATGTTATTTTGGGGTTCTGAGATAAGATTTTTCGTAAGGAATAGTTCTATGATCAGCATTTTTTTCCCCTTCTTTTTTAACTATCAAGAAAAAAAAATCTTAAACTGTTGAAACAATGTAAAATAACAGCGAAGCTGTAGATGGAAATAAATAAAGAGATGAGAAAGTACAATAGTTCATCAAAACACGACGTATTATATTTAGTTATGCAAATAACCAATGAAAGGATTATATATAGGTGGAATACTTGTTGGATTGTATTAATATTCTGTTACTCTGGGCGCGTCTGTAAAGCCAACCATGAAACCTCAAAAACCCTTGGTCAAGGTTGCTAGTTTCGGCACCACCAATCAGAAATTCATTAATGGTCTGTTTGGAACGAGGGTAGAGAGGGGAAGGGGAAGAGAAATGTAATTTTATCCTTGTTTGGGAGTTTTCTTAGGAGGATAGCAGAGTACGCGAGCCAGAGAAGGAAGAAAACAGAGATAGAACCCCCCCCCCACCCCCCCCCCCCCCCCCCCACCCCCCCCCCCCCCCCCCACCCCCCCCCCCCCGATTCGGCGCGATAGAGGAGGCAAGCGGAAAAATGAGGAAATTTTTTTGATGTGTTTAGATGATTTTGCCCTTCATCAAAATAAATCAAAAGTCACGATTTAATTAAAACCCCTAACAACCCCATACATCTGCTTCATTTCTTCCTTTTTTCACAGCTGTTCCTCTCTCTGTGATCTTTCTTTCCCGCAGTCTCTCTCTCTCCCACGCATTCTCTCTCCCCTCGCGCGCTCTCTTCCACACACCCCAAACGATTTCTTCCCCCGCCCCCACCAGCGCATTTCAACTCCGCCGTCTCCTCCAGCTTCATAGACATCTTCGGTCGCCTTAGGTTTTATTTTTTCTATTTTTTATTTATGTATTTTTCGAGTAGCATCATCATAATTCCAACTTTGAGTTGTTTTCATGGTATTCTAGCACCAACAATTTTGACACCTAATATTTAGATTTGGTTTTGGGGGAACTTCCTTTTTTTTTTGGAAAGGAACTAAGAAGTGCTTTTAAACATAACACGAATGTTTTATGAGAATATTATTTAGTTGTTTGATTGGATTACTGGTTATGATGTTAGAAAGAAATTTGAAACACTTTTGTTGACAGGATGATCACTTCTCAACCAGTTTTTATAGGAAATATTATCTCGCATCATTGTTATTTACGTGTCAGATGTTTTCAAAGGGTGAAAATAATATTGTTTTGTGTATTTTTTACCCATGCATTTTGCTCTTATACTATACAATTCCCTCTCTGTCGCATGAGTGTGGTTTTTCCCCTCTGTTACATGAGTGTTTTATGAAAATATTTTTTAGGTCTTTGATTGCATTAGTGGTTATGATGTTGGAAAGGAATTTAAAATACTAATTAGTTGATGGGACAATCACTTAAACCATTTGCTGTTTGAAATTTCCATGGCGTCGTTGTTATTTATGTGTCTGAAGTTTTCAAGGGTGAAAATACTCATATATGTACTTTCTATCCATACGTCAAATGGCTCTAATTCTTCTTCATAGAACAAAATATATTATTAGGTCCATTGACAAGATTAGTGATTTCATTGAAGGATGATGTCCTAGATGTATTTGCTTCATAACTCATAAGAATCATATCGAGGATTCATTTTATAAAATTTTACTTTGTTTGCTTCATGAGTTTGGTATGAGCCTATTCCAGGGATGTTATTATGGATAATATGATATCCTAGATGTATTTTCTTCATATGAATCCTAGATGTACCTTGCTCTGATCTTTATGATTGCTAAAAATCAATTGCATGATAAGCTAATTTTGTGTATTGTAATAAGAGCTTCTAAATTTATCATTACTTGCTAATTAATTAAGGATTCTTAATTTTCTATCCTAATTGTATTATTTTCATATCCTCACATAGAGAATGGATGAAGCATGGGTCAAATTTCAACATGCATGCCGTTGTACAATTGGATATATTCTTTGTGTGGTTGCTTATTGGTTCATACAACAAAGAGAAAATAGAAGGAGATTAAACAGTGAACCCCAAGAGCCTAGAGAAGTAACTGATATGGCGCGCAAAATATTATCGTTGTATGTA